TTTGGATTTGGGGGCTGTCGCTGCTGAAGATAACTCCGGCTTTCCAAGTGCAGTCTTCGGAGGAACTAACTAGTGATTGGACCTCAAGCCTCAAGTGCCGTGTCAAGACTTTGCAGGTTGAGTCCCTTGAGTTTGATTTTTCCGGAGATGTCCACCAGCCCTCTGAAGCCATGGTAGGGATGGACTTGAAGACAGATTGTGTCAAATGCATGAGAGAGCTTCTTGCTCGAGTATCTGAATTTCTCTGGGCTTTGTTTTCAAGGTTTGTCGGGCTTCGGGCTTTCGGTGACGTTTTTCAGGTGAAAACCGTGAAGTTCTGCCAGTCAGAGCCTCGACTGCCACAAACGATGGTGGAGACGGAGACAGCTGCGTCCAGCCAGTCAGAGCCATCTGAGTCCTTCCCTCCTCGGTTCCCGACACTTGCTTCGCCTGGTTACGACACTTGTTTCAGCTGCGTCGAGCCCAGTAAAGCCACCTCAGCGCTTCCTTGGTCGGAAAAACGACATGACAATATGGTCTGCTGGAAGACTCATCTGAACCTCTGCTCCCCATGGCCCCTGCAACTGATCTTAACACCCAAACCTTGGTCGATGTGTACGTTCGAGAGCTGGTGTTTGGCTTGGGTTGAGTCGGTGTTAGCATGTCGATGTTCCAAACACAAACCAAGTAATTGGAAGGCTCGCCAACTTGTGCTGCCGAGTTGATTCAATTCTGGATCCTGCTCCTCCTTTGCACCTTTTGCTCTTTGTTCCGATAGAACTGCTAGATACCGCAGCAGTGGATAGAGCCGGGTACACTTTCTGTAGTCTTTTCTGATCCTCACTTTCTCCTCTCCTTTCATTTATTCCCAAATCTGCTGCGCAAGATACTAGTCTAACTCAGTCCTTTCTTTGACCAACCTGGTTTCTATGTGCTTACTATGCTTATACTTATTTGTGTCCAACATGGTTTCTCCCATTATGCGCATAGTATAAACATGGGTGCTGAAGGAAGAAATTCAGCACCACCCAACTTGGGTGTTTTTGCTTTGAATGCCCTACTATTTACTCCAATGTGTTCTCGAGGTTCTGGGTGGTGTAGGATTTCTTCCATCAACAATAGGATAGCTAACATGTATATATGACAACTAGGTCTGCATAGGCTCTTCTGCAACAGGGTAGGTGCACATTTTATTGAATATTTTCACGGCACTATAGTGTTTTTCAATGCAAGGGTTCTTGCGAATTGAGCAGATGGTTCCTTTTTGGAAACGGAAGACACCTGTCCTTGGGAGCACATTCTCACTGTGGTCATTTTTTCATTCGCCTTTTGCGGGGGAAATACTGTGTGTCCTAGGTTGCAAAAGACACATCCTTCAACAGATTTCAGAATGTTGCTCATTTTGTCAAGGCCTAGTGCTTGCGGGGATCGGAATCTCTTCCTGTGAACATTTGTACTGAGCACCGCTTCTTGGATGGGTCCTTAATTTGCAGCGGATTCCCAGATGTAGTCGCAGTTATGGGGAGTTGATGAGGTCTCACATGAAGACATTCCCTGGTACATTGGAATGTATTTCTTGTGCCCCCGAAACCGGACTTGCAGCACAAAAAGAACGGAGGCACCTTTGGTTTCCAGTGTCTCGAGTGTGCCTCCGGATCGCGGGTCAGATCGCCGAAGCCGTCGTTCGACCCAGATGCCCAGGATACCTTGGTTACCAAGCGTTTGCTGCGCCCGAACCGGTGCAGGGTGAGCTGCATGTGCAGGGAAACATATAAGAGGGTTCTGTGGATATGAGAGATTGATATATTCTGACAATGGACGAATGACGAATCCCCTGTTCACAACCAATTTGTGGATGGAAGCCATAAACATGCTCACCCAATTGGCCGAAAAGGGGGTCCACTGACATAGTTTCCATTTTCCGACCAGGTTCTGGTGCGGTGTTACATGGGGTGTTTGTATATGTATGTGAGTATGTGAGTGTGTGTACCCCAGCACTGCTTTAGTTAGCATGCAGAGCAACAGAACGACTGCCCCAGAGCACAAAAGCTACTGCCGTGCCCGGACCCTGTGAAGCAAGGGAAACTGCATTAAGAAAGACCATGACCACAACAGGATGAAAGATGAGATTATCAATACAGAACTCAAGATGAGTTTCTGAAATTGACCCGACACTTTGACAGTTGGCCGGCACACAGGGGCGGAGCGTCCGGCACTGTGCAATCAGCAAGCAGCGTCCGAAGGATATGTGCGATGAGAGCTCGTTCGCTCGAAGAAGGACCACGTTTTGCATTCATCCTTCGCCTGAGATTCTCAGCAGTTTCCCCGGTGGCAGAAATGGGCTCCCTTTGTCCCAAAGGTGGAAGGGCCAGCAGGCCGTCTTCTCACTGGTTTTAGCACCTTGGAGAGTGGTTTTCGCACCGTTTCACACACCAAAACACACAAGGCACATGTACAAAATCACCTGTTTCGCACAGTCGGCATTTTCTCAGAATCTTGGGTGAGTGGCCATGGCCCTCCGACCAGCAGTCACCAGCAGTCACCAGCAGTCTCGCTGGACGTGAGTGGGACCAAGCCCACCCACCTCAAGTGGTGCAGTGCGACCAAACGCGGTCGCATGGACTACCCGAATCCGCCGAAAACACACCCCTTACGAATCCGACGAAAGACTTGCTTGCAACACTTGGCAAGAGCCAAAAGGTCTTGAGTCTTGACCCTACTAGCCCTTCCAGAAAGCACGCCTTCCAAAAGGAAGCAGGAATGGTAGTCAGTTCCACTCACCATCTCCCAACACTAGCCCAGAGACCAACACTCTGTCTTGAACCATCCCCCAATCCACGCAAAAAAAGAATGCAAAAGGCCAAGGCCGGCACCAGGTTTGCGACACAAAGTCATCCAGACAGACCACGTCAGCCGCGATTCTTTTTGTGGAAGATGGTGAGGTTCAAAGGTTGGTGAGGTTCAAAGCCACGGCGAAGTTCTGCATGCGCTTTCTAGGTCTCAAAGTCACATTTGAGCCCGATAGCAGAACGACGCGTGTGACGAAATATCCTTTACAGCCAAAAACGTGTCGTGCTGGTCTCGAACTTGGCACGATAGTCATGCCCCTCACGGACCCTTCCACACTGTTTGCCGGGTTTGCAGAGGGATCGAAACATGTCAAGACAATGCGTGAAACATGGCAAGTGTGTAAAAAGACATGCCTCTATGTAGAACGTGTCGTGCTCGTCTGTGTGTGTGTGAGAATTCCCAAAGCAACTCTATTTGTGCCATCGGTTTCCAACACATTCTAGCGGGATAGGTGACCTTAAGTAACAAGAAGCTACTAGTAACAAGGTGCCACGCTAGTAGTAACAGGTGCCTTACTAGTAGTAACAAGAAGCTAGTAGTAACAAGTGCCACGCTACTAGTAACAAGTGCCTTACTAGTAGTAACAAGAAGCTACTTAGATTCTTTTCGCATTGAAAGTCATTCTGTACGAACAGTGGTTCCGTCCAGGTTGCCGAAGTCTCAGTGAAACCACCAAGATGTAAAGGGTGCTTGTTTTTCACTTTCCCAGTGATTTCAAGACGTTGAGCTTCGCTTTCCAGTCGTTTCAAATGGTTTCCAAACCGGTTTTGTAGTTTTCTTTGCTAGCCCTCCAAGCGAGGAAGATCAGTTGAGTGAGAGTCCATAAAACAAAGGATTCAACCGGTTCTAGGATTCTGAAGGTTTTATTTGCAATCAGGCTGCATGAACTATTGTCTCCCTGGAAGGGGAGATTTCATAGAGTATTCTTTCTTCAAGAGATGTATGGCACATCGAGAGAAACATTTGTGGTCGAACAAGGATCAGGACCACAACGAGATGACGGCAAGGCGGACTGTACTGCAAATCAGCTTTTGACTTTGTGCTTGCTTTGATTGTGGAGTTGATGTCGCATGATGTAATGTAGGCATGAATATCGAAAGAAGTTTGTGATGCATGTGTGACTCGAGAGATTTTGCGTTACAGACTCATGCACTTCTTACCTTCTTTGTCAGGACATGACTGGTTGTTCTACAGAACATCAATGGTGCACAATGCATAGAACAGGCTGGGGCAGGCAGAAGACAAACCATGGATCTGCCGATTTCCACCATACGTCAAGAACTCCGCCAATGCCACGAAGGCACAGACACGGCCACTTTCGGATGAGACAGACACCAAGCACCCGTAGGCACAGGCCTCAAACCTGACCCGAAGCAGCAGAAGCGGGACCCGAGCATGCACAAACTGAGAATGGGGTACCTGAAATGCGACATTCCAAACACAGGTAGGACCGGGCAGAACAAGACAGAAGGAACCTCACACAAGTGTCCAGCCGGGTGGAAGATCGGCGCTCTGCTCGGAGCACGCTCCGTGCACGCGAAGCGTGCAGAAACCAACTCTGCAAAACAGCAGAAAAGGATCGCGCAGTGACAGCGCACGGGCTGAACACACGGCACTCTCGAATGAAGACATCTGGATTCCACCTGTGCAAAGTGTCATCAAGTCATCAAGAGCTTCTCAAGACTTGCAGCTTGTCTGATCTGACTTGGGAGGCTTTGCCTCATGTATTTCTCTTTGCTATGTCAGATACGGCCCATCTGCATAAGTGAAGCTCTGAATCAGCTTCCGAAGATGTCTGTTGCTTCATTGTTACATGCTTTTACTCCCGGATTCGGCTGCAGTTAAGTTTCTAGCTGCCCGCCAGGAGGAGAAGCCCAAAGAGGAAGAACCAGAAGAGCCCAAGGAGATAGAAGAAGAAGATGCAAAGCCTTTGGCTGGACCCAAGGCATTCCACACGCTTTTTGATCATTTCAATCCCTGAACAGAGGTCTTTACTGTAAAAACTCTTGGAACTACTGGGAACTCCATGCGTTGGCCGACTGTTCCTTTCGAGTCAAGACACGCCACGCACTGAGCCTGACTTCCTCCCCAGCAACCCAGACCCGACATGACCCGACAGACTCGAGCCCCATCAAAGCACTTTGGCCCCTTCAGGTGAAAGGGGGTAGGAGCAAGGACGCTACTAGGGGCTCCTGGCCTCGCTACGAACGGAGCAAGGAAGCTACGAACGGGGCTCCTGGCCTTACTAGTAACAATGTTTGCTATTAGTAAGAATTAGAATCAGAATTTACTGTAAGCTATTAGTAAGAAATAAGAATTAGTAAGAAGCTATTAGAATTCGTTCTTTAAGTCTAATTAGACCCTGAAAGCCCTTTGGCTCCGGCAGGTGAAGGGCTGCTCCTTGAACTTCGAGGATGCCACACTCAACGTCATGCCAACGGCCGGTGGTCGCTTACTGAGGAGTGCGAAGGGTTTGTGGTCGCGGCAAAGACGTGACTTTTTTCCAAAAGGGGTTGGTAGTCAGACTACACACCCTTCCACACACACAAACACATCTTGAAGGAGAGATATTATGTTAGTCCATGTTGGTCCACACTTTGGAAGAAAACACAAGAGAAAAAGGCTTTCACCGGAAGTTCTGTTGGCGGGTGGTGCTTTTTGCGAGGACGCTTTGTGAAGGAGGCATGCAATTTCTTCTTGCTGCCTGTCGATCCAACACTGGCGTGAAGTCTGGCCGCTACATGTTCGAAACCCGCATCGTCGAAGAGCTTCCCACCACCGAGAATCATGGTGCCCGAGTTCCACAGCCCAAGCAGCTGCTTCGGGTGGGATTCACCCTTGAGGGGTCTTCGCTCTTCTTGGCAGACGGCACAGACAATGTTGCTTTTGACTCAGAGGGCTTCTTCACTGTTGGCAAGGTCCGTAGCAGGTCTGGAGCAAAGTTCTGGCGCAACCAGACAGTGGCTGTGCTTCTGAACTTGGAGGATGGCCCCAACAAGAACACCGTGAGCTTGTTCGTGGAAGGGGTTCGAAAGTCGAAGCCCATGCCGCTTCCTGAGAGTTTGTGTGGCAAAGTCTTGTATCCAACCATCACCTACCGGAACATCTCCTTGGAAGTGAATTTGGGACCAGCTTGCAGGAAGCCACTCCCCTTCACCTGCCACATGGTGGCGGGTGCTGCTGCAAGTGATGTGGTGGTGTCTGCTAGCAAGACCAAGGGGAAGAAGGAGTGCGTTTTTCCAATTGGCCTTCCAGATCAAGGCTATTTTGATTGGGTGGATCAATTCTTGGAGAAGAACCCAGGCTATGTGGAATTGAGCGACCGGAAGATGATTGAATGGGCCTGGAAGAGCGGTCTTGGACGGCCTAGAAAAGGAGGCTCCAACGACAAGCCCGACCTGACATTCAGCAATCCAATGCTCGATGATGGTAGCATCAAGAAGGTGGTCTCCAATGTGTCTCCCTGCTTGGAGAGGAACTACGTGATCCCCGAGTTGAGAGCCAACTTGGTGTCTGCCGACCGTGCGACCTCTTTGCAAAAGTACATCGCTCAGGATTATAAGCGCAAGGCCATCGTGATCATGGGCGAGCCCACGAAGGAGTACAAGGAGAAGATCCAATCCATGATTCTTCAGGAAAAGACTGCAAAGGCCAGGGACGGGATAGACGTGGCAAACAACATCGGGATCATATGAGCTCACATTGCACACCTCCTGGATGTTCTTGTTGAGCTTCCCTATTCCTGGGTGCCAGTATGTAGATTCATGGAACTCTCTGCTGAGGCTGAGGCTGAGAAGAAGCGCAAGGCACAAGAGGAAGAGCGGAAACGGCTCTTGGAGCTTCGGGCCAAGAAGGCTCAGGACGGGGTGTGTTTCTGGATCATTTTTTCTTGTGGTTTGAACATGAATCATTCTTTTACACAAGTCTTGACTTTGGAAATGCTCACTTTTGATTCATTCTTCTCTTTTGGAAATATATTCTGTATTTAAAGGTAATGCCATTGTTGCATGGAAGGAGGCCAAAAATGCCAAGAAGGCCAAGGATGCTAAGGTGGGGCAGATCTTGGGCAGGGATGTGAGGAGTAAGTTGGGAGGGGGGTGAGTGGGGGGGTTTTGAGGGACAACTAACAGAATTGTAGATGGGAGCCACTAAGTGCCACTAGATACTTGATTGGATTACTCTCAAATCATGGCCGGTCAGAAGACCACTTTCCCTTCAACGACACGGATTTTCCAACAGACTAAGTGCGTGGGCCTGAAAGCATTCTCAGACGAGCCGAAAAGGAGTGGCCGCCAGCGGCCAGCCCAGACGCTTGATCACAGGATGAGGAAGAGACCAAGGAGGAGGAAGTCACGGAAGACGTCAAGATGGACGAGCCCGTGGTGGTGGAGCTGACAGAAGAAGAGACACTGGGACATGCATGGGGAGGACTTTGAGTCCCCTGTTGCACAAGGGAAGTCTCCAAAGCGGCTCATGCTGGCCACAAATTCAAAAGCTGTTGAGGGTATGTTCTCGGTTTCGCGGTTCTCACCGTTCCCCTGCTTGCTCGTTAACCCATCACCTTCCGCTGAACTCTCTGACTCGTTGCTCTCAAGGAAAGCCATGAAGTACAGGAAGACTGACCTCCCGGACATGGCCGAATCGGACTTGTCCAAGAGCTACACCAGCTTTTCTCTGCCGAGCAAGGAGGAGACTGGAAAACGTGAACTCAGACTTTCTGCAATTGGCAGTCTTCAATTTGGGCAGTCTTGTTCTTCCACCGGTATTTCATCATCCACCACGTGGTGAAACTACAGACAGGCATGCAGTCTAGGGATTTGTTTTCTGATTGTTTAGTGCCTAGAGGAGAACAGTGTAGCATGAGTGTGGCTCTGAGATGCTCAAAGGTTTGAATGGGAGTTCACCCAAGCAGGGCCTAATGCATGGCCACAATGAAGAACACTATCATAGTTTTGCGCTCATGCTGTACTCATCTCGAACAGGAAGGCTTCGAGGAAGTTCTCTACGAGTGGCAGAAGGAGGCCGACTGCAGCAGCCTCCTGAAGTCTTGGATCCTCCAGCTGAAGCTCACTCAGCGTGCTGAGGTCGGCGCTGGAGTGGTCAAGGGGTCACCAGGGTCACCAAGGCAGAACCAGAGACCCAGAGGAAGATGATCCCGAGGCTCAGTGAGAGGATCATCCTCTTTTGATCATGGGCCCTAGTAGCGTCCTTGCTCCTAGTAGCGATGTGGTTTGCTGATATACAGAGTCTTTCCAAAAATGGAACCGACATGAAGATGTCTAGGATTTGGTGATTCTCCCCACACTCCGATTTGGCAGAAAGGACCTGCAGCCTGGTGCTGCCTTCAAGGAATCTTGGCAGAAGTGGCAGAAGACTCTGCAGGCCAAGGGGCTTGGGAAGGAACCAACCAGAGATACACGACCAGAGATTCATCTGCAGCAGAGTTTTACCGCGTGGTAGAAAACAAGGGACGAAAACAGAGCTACAGATGAGAAGAAGCAGCGCCACCCCTTCCACTCTCCAGGAGTGGCGCCGAGCTCAGCAAGACTACAAGGATCCCACCAAGAGGAAGGCTGCAGCCGCCAAGAAAGCGGAAGCAGAAGCTTGGGAAAGAAACGTAAGACGCTCGGGGGGTCTCGAAGTTTTGAGAAGGGACGTTCCTTCCGATTCCTGGACATTCTATGTCAACACCTGCTGGTCACTCTGGTTTTGCAAACAAGGGGATCAGCACTTGTTGTTTGGCCCAGGGGTTTCCGACGCACTGGTGGCACTGGAGTGAAGTGGGTGTGTATTAAGAATCGCGCCCTCCCAAATCACGCATTCAAGTCCGGCTGTGCAGTGAAGGCAGTGAAGGGCGTCGCTTTGCCGGAAGAATCTGGGTCTTGAGGGGACACTTTCCTTGATCCATTCTTCCTGTCTGAGGAAAAGAAGAAGCTGGAGGAAGAAAAGAAAAAACTCATGGAAGCCGGAGATGAAGATGGAGTCAAGGCCTTGGAGGAGAGCGCCAAAGAGAAGGCAGCTCCCATGGAGATTGATTTTGAGGAGCGGGTTGTACAGGTTGGGTGAGGGTTGGCCACTGAGGCTTTTGAAGAGTCGTTGCACCAGGGCCGCTTGTTTTTGACATCTTCCGACCCATGCTCAGATTTCTTGCCAGGAGCCTCTGAAAAGGTTCCCGACAGCTGTTCAAGACAGTGGACAAACACTTTAGACAACCATTACCATTATTACTAATTTTTATTCATCTTGATCTCCAGGACCTAGACGTCATGGGTGTCTCCGACATCCTGGATCTGGGCAACGGCATGCCACTCTTTGACAAGTTCGCCTACGAAGACTGGACCCTTCTCTCCACTCGTTATGAGCTCCACCTTCTCCTTCATTCCTTCAAGAAGGACAGACACACGCACTCCATCACTCAACAAGTCCTGCAAGACTGGTCTTGTAGCATTACCCAACATTGCAACATGGGAGTCCAAGATCTGCGGCCAAAACCTTAGGAAAGATGACCGCCTGTGCTCCGCAACCTATCTACTTCTTGACTTGACAATACTTGACATTTCTTGACCCAGTCTTCAGCAATTATATAACCATATTCCGTCAATAGCCCAACGCTCCTTGGTGCGTTTCTGTCGCTTCCGTGCAAGGACTTGAACGACCCCGACAGGCCAAGTTTTGGAGAGCCTCGGCTGAAAGAGTTTGTTCAGCGAGTTACTCGGCGCGCAAATTTTCAGACATCTCAAAGGCGAGCTATTTTGGGGTTGGCCCTGTTTGTGTAGATGGTGAGCTAGCTCTGGATTCAGCCTTTGTTTGAGGAGAAGCACTTGGGATTCTACTACACGAAGTACTTCAAGAAGGCACGGCATATCAGAAACCCCGCTAGCCTTCTTCGCTGACCTTTTGGTTCTTGAACTGCCTTTCCTTCGATGCCAGAGGAACTTGCACAGATTCCTTCTGAAAACAAGGGGTGCGTGGTTTACCAGATCGCAGATACAGACACGGGCATGTGGGACCGTCTTTGGGAGGCCTGGAACTTTTCCCAGTTTGGCCTTGAGAAGTTCGAGGATCTCATGGATGTGATTCGGGACAGCGTGAGCATCGACCAGCAATTCCTTAAGGCCTGCGCATGCGGGACGTCCCGAGTTCCTCAAGGCTACCCTGGATGGCTCCAGCTGTTTTCAAGAACTGAGCATGCCCTCCATGCAGGCTGAGAAACCAGAGGACACTCCTTTGGAAGATTTCGTCAAGTTCACCGAGGAGCGGGCTAGGTTGGCAGCGGCCACGTGGAAAGCATTACATGCGCAAGTCAGCTTCGTTCCTCCAAAACCAGGAGCATCGACGGGAACGCGAGAGACGTGTGGACGCCGGTGATGAGACCGCCAAGCTGAAATTCACTAGGCCTTCCGGTGGGGAATCATCGTCAGCGCCAGAAAGGATTTGAACATGAGAAGTTGTCGGTAATCTTTGATTTCAATCCACATCGAACCACCCAGAATCCCTTCCTCTCAGGCCCGTGGCGCGGCAGGCCGAGCGGAGCGGAGATTTCTTCGCTCGAAGGGGCTGTGGTGCGGCGGGAAAAACTCAGATCGGGTCATAGGCGGAGTCCGAGATGCTGAAGTCCGATGAGGAAAGCCTTCAGCAAAGCTTAAAACACCTCTTGATAAGTATAGTTGAGACGGCGAATGCACTTCAACCGTAGTCTACCTTCGTGTCCTACCTTCGTGTCCCACGTCGAGGAGCTTTTCCATGCTGATCTGGGGGACCTTGAGGTAACTCCCCGCAAAACCCATGGGCTGAGTGCGCCGTCGATGTGTGATTCGCTCCTCTCATCCACGCAGCTGAGCGAAGGAAGCACCCCGTGGTGATGGACTCACGCAATCGCACGTCACAGGTCTCTTGGAACTTTCATCCAAGCTTCAAAGACATACTAAAAAGCTTCTTGTTGTTCCAGGTGAAACTATTCCCAAGGAAGACTCGTCGTGAGAACTCTGAGGGGCTTGGCCGCTCCCTTCGCCACGAGAGCCAGGCTGACAAAGGCGCCAAAGGTGGCTCGAAAGGAGGCCGGGCGCCACGGGGCTGAGGAGTGTTGGTTGAAGGAGAGAAGACAGAGATAGATGTGGACCGTTTAAATTGGAAGGTGGACAATTCGAGGGTCCGGGTCTCTCTCGGAGGTGCAGCTGTGCAATTGGGCCTTTTGTGGACATGGTCATGAGCATATTACCTCCGAGTAGTACTAGTGGCTGTGCAATTCTTGGACCAGAGCTAGAGAAACGCTTGGGATTTTTCTGATTCTAACATGAGATTCTCTCGTGGATTCTCCCCTCGGTTGGTTTCCCATGGTTGGGATTCCTTCGGGCTCTGGGCAAGTCTCTTAAGCTAAGTCTCTTAAGCTCCAATCTGTGCAGCTCCGGCGCCTGCCACTGGCGGCCGGTCGAACTACGGCAGCTACGGCGGCGGCAACTACGGTGGTGGGGGCGGCTATGGCGGAGGTGCAAAGTCGTAACGTTGGTGACTTGCAACGGGTGGATTTGGATGGATTAGTCTTATGGTCTTCTGCCTCTTCTCTCTGCCATGGGAGCCGACTCAGGAAGCATAGTTGAACAACAGTATAAACTTTATGCGTCATGAAGAACTGATCCGGCTCTGTGTCCAAGACTAAGACACGAATCAGACTCCAAAATAGTGAATGAACAATTAGAACATTTTACCACTCCAGCATTCTGAGGACTCGAATGGCCATCGCGACACCTCGCCAGGCGGCTACACCTCGCAAAAGCGGACCTATCCTTCTCAGTCCTCCTACCCTCCTGCCACTGAGCATGAAAAAATGAGACGAACTCGACCCGAAACGGTTAGGGTGATATGATGTGATCAGCAATTACCGTAACTGAAACAAAGCTGGCTAGTGATTTGGCCTTAACATTGTGTCACAGGCTCATATTCATTATTCCTACTATTATGATTTTAGGGATAGGCTAAGCTTCGGGTCGGCTAAGCTTCGGGAGTTCTATGCCGATTCCAAGGCCAAGCAGCCGAAGACCTCCTACGGCTCCTATGGCAACGGCGCTCGTGGAGGAGGTTGTTTCGGGATCTGCCGCATGTTGTGTTCTTATTTTGTTATATAATGTTATATATATAATATATATATATGCAGCTCAAGGGTTAGGCTTTTAGTTGGCCCAGAGCATTTTCAGTTTATTGTAATATAAGCTATAGAATTAGACAAACACACTCTGACATTGGTTTTCAGTTAACTCAATTGCCAGGTCGAACATGGTGAGGGAACGGCATGGCGAAAAAGTCGGTTCACTTGAAAGGTTGAACAAGTTGTTTGTGCGTGACTGCAGAGCTCAGCGGTGGTAAACGAGCGGCTCAACTCAGCTGCCGAAAACCTAAAGTTTGGGGGG